CCTCTCCTCCCGGGCCTCGGCGCCGAGGCCCTGATTCTCCTCGAGCATGAGCTGTGCTGCGTGTGCGCCGACTGGCAGCAGCCACGTGTCGCAGATGGCGCCGACCGGCGCGCGCAGCCCCGCCTCGCCTGTGAGCACCAGCGGCAAAACGACGCGAAGATCGGGACAAAATCGGATCGGGATAACTCGAAATCTCTGAGAATCGGCGGGTTTGGAGGATGTATTGGGCGCCGCGGCCGCTCCAGAGCGTTCCGGAACGCTCTGAGAGCGCTCCGGAACGCTCTGGAGCGATTTATACCGATCCTAGCCCTGTTTAAGCGTGGCGATGTCCACGGTGAGCTCCTCCAGTGATTGCTGCTTGTTGCCCTTGCCGGGGCCCTTGACTCCCAGCATCAGTCGGCCTCCCTGCTCGCGCGCGATCTCCTCCATGGGCGGCTCTGCCGCCTCCGACAGCCAAGCTGGCCTGCGCAGCGCTGGGGCCGCCGTAGCTGCGTCTGCTGGCATCGATCTCCAGCCGACTACATAAAAGTACGGTGCACAACACGAATGGCTCGAGGAAGCTGTGCACGGACGTGTCATCGAGAATCTCCGTAGCTGGACGCAAGATGGCCAAAGGTATACACTGTAAGTTATCAACGGTATGTACTGGCTCTTGCGCACGACCATTACCAGCCTGGAACATATCCCTATCCCTTTGCTGGGCACCTCCTCATCGCGATGCCAATCTTAGGGATTTCCTTATGTTTTGAGGGCGAATCCCTAAGATTGGCATCGCCTTTTGGCGTGTCAATCTTTAGGGATAGGGATACGTTCGAGGCTGGTAAGACCAGCCCCCAGCGTAGCAGTACCCCCTGCCCATAGAGCCCACCATATGTCTACTGGCGGGAGTGTTCCCCGAGGAGACCCCCAGGCAGTTAGGGCATTGGTTTTCTTTTGCGTAGGTTTGGCATCGCTCGGACGTGTGCATTTTTTCTTCGGCGAGGGCCATCGAGGAGCATCCTTGATCATTTGGCGAAAAAGCCACGCACGAAACCGAAAAAAACAGAGGGAATGGACGTCCGAGCGATGGCGAGTCATGACCCAGGGACCGAAGGTGATGGTAAAAACGTAAGTGATTCAGCGCCGACTTCCAATCAGTAAATCTACAGGTGCGTCTAGCTACCCCCCAGACTCCTGTCTAGAAAGAAACGCCGCAAACACATCTGACTTCCCCCCAAGCGTAGTCTCAGTATCCAGCATCTGCGCAAGGTTGGCGTTCATGAACTCATGCGGGGGGATCGCACCAGTCTGCGTCCTCTTTCTGAGCTGCGAGAAGTTAATTTTGCACAAGCACCGACCGAGCTCCCCATCCCACCATAGCGCGAGGAAAGAGCCTTGCAAGCGAGCGAACCGATCAGCCCCCTCCTCCAGGCACTCAAGACTCTGTATATCGTCGTAAAACATCTTCGCATACGGATTCGCAGCTGTGGTGAGACGCCCCATACGATCGTATTGGTCGGTTCCGTCTGTGGGCGACACCCCGAAAAGAGCAGACAACCTCTGCGCATGTCGAACGGGAGAACGGACGAATTGCGTAAGCCACCCAAGTCTGCGGATACGGAGTTCCAGGCAAGAGCGAACGATCCTCCAGTGTCTAAACACCTGGTCGTTGGTTATACTGCGTACATGCTCCGCCTCCTCCTGGTTGCTAGCCCCCCCCCCTCCATAGCTACGCGGGATTTGCATCGCCCCCCAGTAACTAAACAGGCCCCCCCAATTTCTGAATCCCAGCATTCAGGATCCCAATAAGAACCGTCCTCTTCAGTCTGAACACAACCCCCGTGGTAGCCCAGAGCTTGCCCAAGGAGTGGAACGAGGATTTGATCGACAAGATTCTCTCAGTGATTTCGGCGGCCAGAGCCCCCATAGCGTGGATCTGCCCGCCCAAGAGACGCATAGCTAGAGCAAAACCTCCAGAAAAAAAAGCCTGGGCCCATTGACCCGCAGTTCGCAATTCGCGTAAACAGTGCCCTGGCCCGTCAAGGATACACTAGTATTGCGTTTATCCATATTCTGTACCCATCCTCCCTCCCCCAGAGCACTGTTCAGCCGCAAGTCAAGCATCCCTGTGAATTCACAGGGTTCGCGACGTCAGGGGGGCCCAAATCCTGTGATTTAATGGGGATGTTTGGGATGTCTGGGGTGTGCATCCCAGAACCCCGATGATTTCATTGGGATGCTTGAGATTCTTGGGATTATCCGCCCTTCGGTACAATTCCACTCTGGCGCCCCCCAGGACCCCGAACCCCAAGCATCCCTGTGAATTCACAGGGTTCGCGAAGCCAGGGAGGCCCAAACCATGTGAATTCACAGGGATGCTTGGGATTCGGGGTCCTGGGGGGCTCCAGAGTGGAATTGTGTCGGAGGTTGGAAAATCCAAGGACTCCCAAGCATCCCTGTGACGGGATGCACACCCCAGACATCTCAAGCATCCCAGTGAAATCACATGGCTTGGGCCTCCCTGGCTTCTCGAATCCTGTGAATTCACAGGGATGCTTGGGATTCGGAATCCTGGGAGGCTCCAGGGCAAATGTTTGTCGGAGGGTGGAGAATCGCAGGAATCCCAAGCACCCCTGCAAAGCTCCGTGCGACCTGCATCAACAGTCTGAGACAGAGGTCCACTACCGAAATGCAGCTTAGTCAGATCATCAGCGTACTTCGTCAAGGCTGAGGTCGACCTCTGTCCCTGTGATCGGGCACACTACTCTCAGCAGCTCCTCGCCCTCGAGCGACTCCAAGAGGGAATCGCTCCAGGCTGCCACTGGAAGCTCAAAGGCATGGCCAAAAATCTCAACTGCATATGGGTTGCCCAAAAGCTCCGCAGCGCGGACGGACGATCAAGCTGCGATCACTAGCAGGCAAACAAATAGTAGCCGACATAAACCTGTCGATCCCGAACTTCGTATCCTCGAGATTCAAGAGCAGACGATTCGCCTTATCCAAAAGCTCCCAAGACGTAGACGGGAACGCGTTGCTTAGATCCTTGTTGGACCATGACGCACTATAGCCACTGGAACGTAACCGATGAAGCATGTTTTGCACGACGAGCATGGCTCCTTCTCTCCTACGACCCCGAGAGAATCCATAGTCACACGGGCCCAAAGGGGGTGGTTGAAAGCGAGCCATTGCCCCAGCCAGCCAAGCTTTCCCAATATGATCCAACATATGAATAACACGTTCAATTCACCACGAGGCCCTGGAGCAGAACTCGTAGGCAATCCACAACAATAACTGCGATTCCAAGAGCGGGGAAACTTTCCAGCAAATCGAACACAGCAAAGTCCCTGTACAGTAATATCGCGTACAAGTTCAGAATCTAGATCAACACTGGCGCCAATACCGCGCCTCTCTTTGCGCAAGCCGAAATAGGGATCAGCAATACTGCTCCATACCTCGGCCGGTACCTACCAGGGTGGACACGACCGACCTTTGGGAGCCAGTCGAAGATATTTCGCAATTGAAAACAAGTCCGTTTGTGCTTCCACTGTAAAGGCCCCTGGATATCCCTCAGTCTCCTTGTCCCTGATGGCCTCCTCCTCTGTAACTTCAGCTACCTGTATACCCCTCCGAGGTCCAGCGAGCTTCCAAACATCAAGCCATCCAGCAGCTGCAGGAAGGGCACCTTGCAGATGCCTAAAAGAGCAACCTCGAGGGCCTCTGCCGCGACAGGCGAGAACACGTATGAGACGTTATACTTCTTTGAAATCTCGTCTACACCAGGCTTGATCTAATTCTTCCGTAACCTCCGCCCTATAATTCCTCATCTGCTTCCTCCGTAAAGCACTGCGACTCTTGCTACTCTCCTTCGAAAGCACCTTGATGTTCTCCTCCTCCCCATCCGTCGTAGCATTATTGAGCTGTGACCGTAGCGCAGCACGACAACGCAATAGAGCGGCACGCTCCTTCGCCTGCGCCTGGTAAGATTCAGAAGCACTAGCCAGAGTGCCCGCAAATAACGAACTAACACATTCCTGCACCTTTCTGTTCAGCAACGTGAAAAACTTGTCTGGCTGGCCTGCCCTATACTTCTCCTCCATCTCCTCCTAAACCCCCTCGAGCTCCTCCTTCAGCTTTCCCAAGACAGTTTGCGTCGAAGTTCCAGAAGAGACGGGGAGGGGCAGGGTCATCAGAGTGGACGGGATCCCAACGGAGATTCAGGTGAAGAGGCACATGGCCCCTAGGAAAGAGGCGGAGGAGGAGGATGAGGAGGAGATGGAGGAGGAGGAGGAGGAGGAGGAGGAGGAGGAGGAGGAGGAGGAGGAGGAGATGGAGGAGGAGTCAAGGCGAGCGGTGAGGGAGGCGGATGGGTGGAGGCAGGGGGGAATGGAGAAAGGGGAATCGGAGGGAGTCATTCCGTGCAAATGGGGAAGGGAACGGCGACGGTTTCCTCCTCCCCCCCCTTTCCTCCTCTTCATCGAGACGAGAGAAGGGGGTTTCGTCATGATCATCGTCGTGATCGTCGTCGTCGTCATCGTCGTCGTCGTCGTCGTGGTCGTTTTCATCGTGGTAGGCTGTCGTCGTCGTCAAGGTCGTCGTCGTCGTCATCATCGTCGTCGTCGAGGTCGTCGTCGTCGTCGTCGTCGTCGTGGTCGCCGTCGTCGTGCTCGTCGTCGTCGTCGTGGTCGTCGTCGTTGTGGTCGTCGTCGTCGGCGTCGTGGCCTTCGTCGTGGTAGGCCGTCGTGGTAGGCCGTCGTCGTCGTCATCATCGTCGTCGTCGTCGTTGTGGTCGTTGTCGTCGTGGTCGCCGTCGGCGTGGTCGTTGTCGTCGTCGTGGTCGTCGTCGTCGTGGTCGTCGTCGTCGTCGTGGTCGTCGTCGTTGTGGTCGTCGTCGTCGGCGTCGTGGCCTTCGTCGTGGTAGGCCGTCGTCGTCGTCGCCGCCGTCGTCGCCGCCGTCGTCGTCGTCGTCGTCGTGGTAGGCTGTCGTCGTCGTCGTCGTCGTCGTCGTCCGTCGTCGACGCGAGGTGCCCCCGCCCCCGGACTTCGTCCTGGAGAGGAGGGCCGTGCGCGTCGCCCGCGGCGGGGGCGGGGGGCCGCGGGGGGCCGGGCTGCCGCGGGGCCCCCCTCGGCGTCGCCCGCTGGGGCGGCGTCGCCGGGGGGGGGCTCTTCGAGCGAGGGAGCCCTCTTCGGTGAGCGAGCCTCTTCGTTGGGGGGACTCTTCGAGGGAGGGAGAGAGCCTCTTCGCTGGGGGGGCTCTTCGAGGGGGGGGAACAATCTGAGCGCACCTCCGGGATTCTTTGTATGTTTTGGCCTCTGCGCGCTCCCCGAAGCGGAGCCGAGCACCCTCGCCGCGAAAGGCGCTCGCGCCCGCATTGGGCAGCCCAGATCTGCGAGAGCACTCCACATGCTGTAGCGTGGCGCGGTCTCGACGAGCAGTTCAATTTTTTGGAGCGCATCGATCCTGTAGCCGCGGCCGCGTCGCCGCTGCTCGCGGCCGCCGATGCCCGCGGCCGCGCCGCCGCGGCGGCCGGCGGCGCACGGGCGCGTACTCCCTGCTCTGATGGGAGAGTCGCCACCCAGATACGACTCCCTCCCGCGGGGTCCTGGGTCCCAAAAAATCTGCAGGACGGAGTGCCCAAAGAGGCCCTCAAGCCGGTCCAAGAGGGCCCCGAATCGCCGAACGATCTGTCCAAGACGCCGTGACGGCCTCCAGACGGCCCATGAGGCCTGCAAGACGCCCCAGGAGGCCTTCACTCCCAAAAAGGACAGCAGCTACGGGAGGCGCGGCCGCGGTGGCGGGCGGCGCGGGCGCGCGCTCCCGCGGGGGCTGCGGCCCGCGGGAGGCGCGCGGCGGCGGGCGGGGAGGCTCTCGGAGGACCCGGAGGCCCGACGTGCAGACGAGGGTGCCTTTCCCCTCCTCGCTCCCCTCCCCCCCTCCCTCCCTCCCCCCCTCCCCCCCCCCCCCCTCCCCCCCCCCCCTCCCCTCCTCCTCCTCCTCCTCCTCCTCCACAATTACACAATATGAAAATACTCTCCCACTTCCCCTGATGGCGTCCCGAAGATATCCGACACCCCCCCGCGTATTGTTCTTTTACACACAGGATTCCCGGGAAACGGGTTTTCGCTTGTGTTTTTTTGTTTTAAAATGCTGCTCTCGCTGAGGCGCCGGCCCCATTTCTGCTCGCGAATCGTTCCGAATCGTGCTCCCGCTGCAGCGTGGGCCTCATTTTCGGATCGGTGTTTGGCCTCCGTCGTTCAGGATGGCGTTCTCGCCCCAGCGCGGGCCTCTTTCTCGCGCGCCCATCCGCCCGCCACCACCGCGCCGCACCACCACCACCACCACCACCACCACCACCACCACCACCACCACCACCCACCACCAGCACCACCACCACCACCACCACACCACACCACCACCACCACCACCACCACCACCACCACCACCACCACCACACCACCACCACCACCACCACCACCACACACCACGCACACACGCACGCACGCACGCACGCACGCGCACCACCACCCACTACGCACGCGCGCGCGGAGCCACAGGTCCGCTACGACACGCGTCCGCGGATAGAGAAATACCGCGCCATGGTCAGGGATGGGAGGGAGGGGTAGGACGTCAGATATGACGCGAGCGCACCTAGCTTGTCCTCCCCCCCTCCCCCCCTCCCCTCCCTCCCTCCCTCCTCCTGCCCCCTCTCTCTCCCCCCCCCCCGCCGGCCTCTCCCCCATGCCGCCTTCTTCCCGGGAGGTGTGCAGTGCACGTGCCAGCCCGGCAGCACGGTGGCCAGATTCCGGGCGCCCCGCGCCCCGTCTTTCTTCTGCTCCTCTGTTCGGGGGGCCCCAAATCAAGGGCATAAAAAAACGCCCCTACCCTGGTTTTCGAGACGCTGTGCGCTGAAACTTCTGTGGGCTGACTGGGTGAACCCTCCGTGCTGTGCCGCGTCCTGGCGGCTCTAGGCTTTGGGGGTTCCCAGGAGGTTTACAGACCACGCACTTGTAACCCAGGGTAGGGTCGTTTTTTCGTCCCTCAACCAAACGGTGTGGTGACCACACCGTGCGGGGAGCCGGTGGGGATTAGGGGTCGCCGCACGGTTTTGGGACTCGAGTCCCTCTCCGAGGGTGTCTCGGGCGACAGGGGCCTCAGAGGTCCCAAGACCGTGCGTTGACGGACTGTGCGGTGAGGTCTCTTGGGGGATTTCGAGGTCACCGCACGATCGGTCACCGCACCGATTCGGGACGCCGAATCTCTGCCCGCCGGGCTCTGTCCGCCGGCGTTTGGCCTCCATGCAGCCCTCCTCTCCCTGGAGGGTTTCTCCGAAGGGCGTATGCGCCCCTCCTCCTCCTCCTCTCCTCCTCCTCCCCTCCCTCCTCTCCTCCTCCTCCCTCCTCCTCCTCCTCTCCTCTCCTCCTCCTCCCTCCTCCTCCTCCCTCCCCCTCTCCTCCTCTCCCTCCTCCTCGCCTCCTCCTCCCTCTCCACCTCCTCCTCCTACATCTCCCTCCTCCCCCTCCCCTCCCCCTATTCCTCCTCCATCTCGTCCTCCCCGCCCTCCTCCCACTCCTCCTCGTCCTCCCCCTCCTCCTCATCCTCCATCTCCTCGTCCTCCTCCTCCTCCTCCTCCTCCTCCTCCTCATCATCATCATCATCCTTCTCCTCCCCCTCCTCCTCCTCGGGTCGCCTACGGCCCCGGGGGAAGCCGTGCACCTCTCCCCTTCCCATTTCTGCTCCCCAAAGAATTGGCGAGAGAAGATCAGACGGATATGTCTGCTGTCTTAGGCGAGCTTTTTTTTGTTTTCATCCCCAGGGCAGCGCTCGTGACATGGGCCAACCCCGCTCCCCCGGGTAGCGTTAAGTCGGCCCTGTCCCCACACAGGGGGATTTTCGACAAAATTAAAAATACTAAAAAAATAGTCCACACATCATCCAAAAATTGTCTGGGGACTATGTTTGAGCATTGTTTTTACCTTTTTGGTATATGTTTTGTGTATTCTTTATTTTTCGTCGAAAATCCCCCTGGAGGGGGCAGGCCCGACATGAGGGTAGCGCTAATGATTGTAGTGGGGGTCCCCCACACGCGAGCGACGCAAGAAAAGGGGTCGTCTGCGCCGACACTGGCGCGTAAGCTCCCCAGGTAAGCTCGCGCGGGAGCGCCTTGGTCTCCAACGTGGCGTGCCGCGCTGGCGGCCCGCGTAATCCACCGCATAAGATCGTTATGCCATACCGCCTAAGACCCGTTTTTTGTAGTCGCTCACATGTTATGGTGCACAGTGGCGATCGATGCGCCAGTGGCGCGGACACACCTGGTGGGTGCACGCCGCGACCGCCGTGTCTGTTATCCTCCCGCCCTCCCCCCCCGTGCAACGACCGTCACCCGAGAAAGACAAAAAGTCATTGGCCCACCTAGCCACCATACCTAGGTTGTAGGTGAGAGGCCTCTGAAACGCCCGTTGGTATATCTTGGGAGGCCTCTCCGAAACCTCTTGGGAGCGGTGTTGGGTGTGCTTTTGGGCCTCTTGAGAGCCTCCTGCGGCCTGATTTGGCTCTGTTAGGGGCCTCCTGGGGGAGTCCACTTGGGCGCCTGCTGGCGGTCTGGGGGGTCATCTTGGGGCAGAGAGTTCCCTCCCCCGCGCCCCACCCCGCTCCACCCGTCATTCTTGGCGTCGTCGGGCATCACCTGCACAGAGGTGTCGCACTTCGTTTATCCAACGTCACTCATCCACCGTGTTGTGCTTTCGGCAAGTAAGCGGAAACCGTCTCTGGGAACGAGCCGCTTGCGAGAGACAACCACCGATTTGAAGCATGCACGCGGAACCGTCGTAGCGGATTTGGCTGTGCAGCTCACCCAGATCTAGATGATCTGCGGACCAGGGGGTACTCGAGTTCATGCCTTGCTGGCTACAAAATTGATATTATTTACGGTTCGCGTATCCCCAACTCCAATTACCCATCCAGAAACGAATCCCATGGGAGTAGGATAGAGGAGAGACTCAGGTAAGCATATAGTAAAGCATGGAAACATGCGAAAGAGCTCGTTCTGTGGTCGCTTGGAGGGGGGGAGGCGTTTGCAACCGGACCCCCCTCCTCCTGGATGGAGGGGGGGGGGTCGAACCCCCCCCCTACTTCTCCTCTCTCCCTCTCCTCGGCTGGCGGCGGCGGCAGCGGCGGGGACAACGATTTCCTTCTCTGGGCCTGCGCCGGCGCCTGCGCCGGGGCCTGCTGCGGCGGGCGGCGGCGGCGGGGAGCGTCGACGAGGACGACGGTGATGGTGATGGTTGTGGATGGTGGTGGTGGTGGTGGTGGTGGTGGCGGTGGTGGTGGTGGTGTTGTGGTGGTTATAGTGGTGGTGGTGTGGTGGTTTGTGGTGGTGGTTGTGGTGTGGTGGTGGTGGTGGTGGTGGTGGTGGTGGTGTGGTGGTGTGGTTGTGGTGGTGTGGGTGGTTGGGGTGGTGGTTTGGTGGTGTGTTGGTTTGTGGTGGTGGTGGGTTGTGGTGGTGGTGTTGGTTTGTGGAGGTGGTGCTGGTGGTGGTGGTGGTGGCGGTTGTGGTGGTGGTGGTGTGTGGTGGTTTGTGATGGTGGTGGTGGTGGTGGGTTGTGCTACTGGTAGTGGTGGTGGTTGTGGCGGTGGTGGTGGTGGTGGTGGCGGTGGTGGTGGTAGTGGTGGTGGGTTTTTGTGTCTGTGGTGGTGGTGGTGAGTTGTGGTGGTGGTGGTGGTTGTGGTGGTGGTGGTGGCTGTGGTGGTTGTGGTGGTGATTGTGTGGTGGGTGGTGGTGGTGATGGTGGGTGAGGCGATGGTGGTGGTGGTGGTGGTAGTTGTGGTCGCTCGTCCCCGTGCTGGCCGGCCGCCAGCGCCGGGCGCCGGCGCCAGGGGGGGGGTTGAACCCCCCCCCCCCCTTCGGCGCCCAGGGGGGGGGGAACCCCCTCCCCCCCCCCCTGGGCTGCCTTTGGTCATCGTCGTTGCGTCCCGCCGTCGGCGCTGCTTGCGGCCGCTGGCGCCGGCGACGAGGGGGGGGGTCCCAACCCCCCTCCGTTTTTTTGGGAGGGGGGGGGAGGGTTTCGGGAGGGGGGGGTCTGGGGGGAGTGGGGTCCCCCTTGTTTTGATCGATGGCGCCGAGTGTTGGGGGGGGGGCCACCGTCTGGTTCGAAACGCGCCGCCGAATGTTCCCAAGGCAAGCGCCCGTGAAACGCGTTTTCGCAAACATGCAATGGTGATATTATGGGTGTGGCCTCTTGGGGCCACATGAGGGTAATGTTGTTGTTTTTTTGGTGTTTAGCTCGAGCCATCTTAGGCTCTCTTCGGGACCCGCCTGGGGTTATCTTGAAGGCCATCGATCAACGAAGGGGGCGGCGCTTATTTCGACTCCCCTTTCGGGGCCTTCAAACCGTATTGCTCCGTAGCCATTTTAGCTCAAGCCATTTTGGCTCAAGTAAAACATTTCCTCGAGGTGGTGCAGGACCAGTTTCTGACGGCCCCCACAGACGGCCGCTCCCAGGCCAGGGGGCTGTCTGTCATACTCCTTTCCCTTGCGCTGCGAATCGCAACCGCAGATTGTTCGATCACCATTCCACAACCATGGCCGGCGGCAGGCCGAGGCAATGGGTGGTATGCAAGAATTGCTCTCGCAGCTGGGTATTTATCGATGCTGGCATGCGCCAGTGCAAGTATTGTGGGGCCAACTTTCAGCCGCCAAATGGTTGGCCACCAAGGAAGGGAAAAGGGAATGATCAAGGAGAAGCTGGAAGTGCGTCGTCATTCCAACATGCAGCAGGAGCGAAGCAATCATATTTGTTCAAGTACTGTCACAATCGGTATGGAGGCGCCACCCCTCCATCCAAGTCGCCGCCTCAGCCAGAAGGAGATGGAGATGACGAGCAACAGCAAGCAACCACAACTGTGGTGGCGGATAGAATACACAGCCAGATCGAGTCTCTTGAGAAGTACATCGCCTACGCCAGCTCAGTCACAGAGGATCTCGCCCCTGGTCATGAGCAGAGTCTTGCAGCATCCAGACAGAAGCTTACGCAGCTCAAGGAGCAGGCCGCGGTACACCTGCCCCATCACAATCAAGTGCATCGAGCGACGGTTCGCGTCAAAAGGGCACGAGACAAAGTATACAAGCTGCGCAAGCAACTGGACGAGAACACAGAGTACATTGGGCAGATGGAATTACTACTTGAGACCATGCGAGATGACAGAGAGCAGTTACAGCAGAAGCTGGAAGAGGCTGGGAAGCAGCTCAAGACGGAGGAGGATCAGCAATCCCAGACATGGGCGACGACAGCTCGTGCACAAATTCGTGACTTCAATTCGTTCAAGCTCTCACTGGGGTCTCTGGTCGCAAAAGGCCCCTCAGGGCGCCGAGATCGCCCAAAAATTTATAGCGGCGCAGCAGTTGGCTCAAAAGTTTGAGGAGGCTGCAAATCGAGAGATGCGAGTTGATGAAGATGAGCATGGCCCCAGCCTCGAGAGAGACAGCAGCTCGAAGCATTGGAGTCAATTTTGCCAGAAGGGCAACGTGCAGCCTGGGAGGCTAAGAAGAAGGAGCTCGCCATGGCAGTGGGAACTCAGATGCCCAAGCCTGTGTGGACTCCACCAGCGCCGAGGCCGACCGTCGCCGAGCATCCAGCCGTGCCGAAGCCAGCTGGGCATCGGTTTCCTCCTGGACCAGGCGCAGGGCGAGGCTCGGGAGTGGGCAAGGGGCAGTCACCAGCACACGACGAGGGACAATATCGTGATCGTGGGTCACGCTCACCCAGAGGCGCTGGAGGTGGCGCCGCAGAAGTTTCAGACGACGAAGCAG